AGAGAGAGAGAGGGGGGGGAGGGAGAAAGGGGGAGAGACACTAATTTATTTTGCACGCCTCGGCTTTGTTTACACCCTACTTGTACGTCTTCTGGAAATTCATGATTAACTCAAGTAATTTAAACTCAAATTAAGTTGCAAATATATCAAATTTCTAAAAAACATACAACTTGGCTGTAAACCAAGCTGCAAACTAAATATATATGTGTATATCTTTGTCTTATTTATCTTTCTTTATTTTATTGTTTATTTATTTCTACAATATAAATATTTTTTTAGTTTAATTTTCATTATTTTTGCTTTAATCTTATAAATATTTTTTTTTTAATCTAAGTTTTCTTGTTTAAGATATTGTATATAAATGTTAAAGCTCTCTCTCTCTCTCTCGCTCTCTCTATCTATCTCTCTCTCTGTCCCTACCTCCCTCTCTCTTATTCTCTCTCTCTCTCTATCTCTATCTCTCTCTCTCTCTCCCTCTCTTCCTCCCTCTCTTTCTCCCTCTCTCTCTCTCGTCTCCCCCTCTCTAATCTCATTGTTTTTGTAGCTCATAGCGCTGTCTCGCTGACCGCACGACCTTTTATTGAAATCTCGGTTCGTTTATTTAATTTTTCCCATATATTATATCGTTTAGCGACTGGGCCAATTGACGGCAACGCATGGTACGTGGCGTTGATCAGCCATGACAAAGTGTTCCATGACCGGAATAAACATCTCCGACGCGATGTACAAATACAAATACAAATACCAAAGACAAAGACATAATAAATACATATGTGTCGTTATGAAGATAAATTATACGATATAAATATAATTATAGTTTATGGCTGATGAATATATGTGACCCCAAACCAGACAACCTGTAGCGAGAACTAGAGCTGGAAGCTCAAAAATCATAAAAACTTTAAATCTTTTTACATTTGCATCGGATAGTCAGGCAACACAGAATCCCATAAAAACTTGTGTATGTGTGCGTGTATGGGCAGCATAAGAAAAGTTAATACCACGCATGCCAACGCTTGGCTACCCTTACCAACTATTACTACTATAAAATTCAACACTTACCCATTGAAGACGCAAACCGTTTCATATTTTACATAAGTCGTTCCTTCGAAGGGCAGAAATGTTAACGAAACTTGAGCGAAATTCAATTGGTCAGAATTGCTGCCTCTACACACACACACACGCACGATCTGTAGACATTAATGAGAGAGCATTGAGCGCATTGAGAGCAATGAGAGTAAGCCAATTGCCAGTTCTATGTAGTGCGAGTGAAACAAAACTCAACGATGCTCTTCAGTCACACAAAGCAAAAGGCTCTCCGAGCAAAAATGCAGTCGCACGCACTGAAAATAGGTGGCTAATTTTGTTGTTGTTCTAACTGTCTCATCTATATGTTATATGGTTATTGATATGGCGCTATCTATATAAGATTATAAATTACTCAGCGCTTGTTATCAGCCGTTTATTATCGGTCATAATCCAAGAGATTGGCTTATCTTAAGCAAAGGAAATAGAAACACGACGGAGAGAGTGCAAGAGATAGAATGTAGGGAGTAACTGTTGTAATACGCTTGCAGCGGATATTGTAAGTTTGTAGCTAAACATGTAACACATATAGTATTTATATAATATATACATATATATATATATATTTATATTTATAAATATTCATGATTAGTATCGACGGATGAGGCAATTTAGTAATATTATTTTTTTATTTCTGATTTTTTAAAGCCATTGAATCATGATATCGTTATGAAACTTGTCAACAACTAACAAATTCACAAAATCTAATCAGCAAGGGGACTACTATATAATATAAAAATATATATCTGTCATATGAGCAATCAGGCAAACACTTCTAAGTATTGAAATATACAGCGCATATGTCTTGCAAGGGTATTGAATATTCGGCTTCCCGTAGACAGCTGTTCTTTCTTTCTTGTTAAGCCTCACTTAACGCACATATGTAATTTATCTGGGTGCTTTTGTGCCTTTGTATCTTGTAATGTGCCTGGTTATCTGTGGACTCAGCTGGGTTCATTTGGGTTTCTTTCGGATTTTACGAGGCACTCAGCTGGCCTGGCTTATCGGATTTGTCTGTGTTGTTGTTGTTTCTATATGTTTTTCATTGCTTCAGTTTTCAAGGCTGTGGCATTTCCTCCTCCCACACATATTTCCATTTGATTGTCCCACTGCTTTCTTATACTTGCATTAAGTATTCAGCACGTGCTTTCTGATTTTCCTTAATCCCGTATTGCCAGGGTTTGCGTTTTATAGCGCCAGCTTATTACATTTCCGAGCTTAGCACGCGATCGTTAAAAGCATTTATCATTCAATAATGTAATACAGATTTCACACTGGATAGAGCACTAAATGGATTTTTCAACTCTTGTCTGCAATTAGGGAATACCTCATAAATATATATAAGTAGACAAATGTATACGACTGTGTTTATGGATGAGCCCCGCAACCGAGTCACGTACTCGCTATAATTACGGGTATTTTTCAAGGGAGGAGGAACACAATGGACATACCTGCCGCATGTTTCATGCCAATTCCACTATAATAATAATATGTTAGCTACATTTAAAACTGCTCTGTTTGACTGTATACAAATAATGGCTGATATATGAAATTAAAGCCCTGATAATACACGTTATGTATTTACCTTTATGACATATTCAAAATAGCTTAAAGAGCTTAAATATTTTAATATCTGGCAGGTACCTGGAAACTTCTTTTGCGAACAAGAAAGATGTGGTAGGAAAGTTTCGAATTTACGATTAACAAATTTTACTATTTAAACGAATAAATTACAATAATAAATAATGCCAGCTATGAATGTTTTTCGTCCTCATTTTACGTACAACAATACTTGAAAATATTATGTTAAAGTTTTTAAATAAATATAGTGGAAAGATAGAAAAGTCCTGAAAACAGGATATTATTCTTATTTGAATATAAAATTAAGAAAAGAAACTTTGAATATGGAAGTATTGAAACACGGAAAATTGGTTTTAGAAAATATTTCATTTAAAATACAGAAGAGAAAGTTCTCTTATCAGTAATTTTTCATTTGTTGAACGAAAAAAAGAGCTTGGAATGTTCCTTAAATTCGAATCACCTCAGAAATCAAAATGTTGCAATATGAGACAGAGACAGAGATAGAGATAGAGATAGAGATAGAGATAGAGATAGAGATAGAGATAGAGATAGAGATAGAGATAGAGGGAAAGAGAGATAGAAAAATCTTTGTACAGATGTGATATGCCAAAGATAGAAAGAATGTTCGAATCTCTCGACTCACTTACATATTTCATGTATTATCCAATTGTATTTCCTTTGCTGAAATGCATATCTCAGTTCCAGTTCCTATTGTAGTGCTCAAATTTGTTATTGTTGTGTAATACTTTGAGCATTGGGTCATTGTAATTGAACTCTGATCGTTGCATTCACAAAAGTCATTTCTCACGTAGTCTTGACATATTTAACGTGTGTTTTTTATTGCGCTTCCAATCGATTTGATAGCTCATATTTCGACGATTCTATATAGTCTAAACAAAGAAAACTTAACCGATTTCTGGGTGCCAACCTTCAAGCTTATCTGCCCATTCGACTGCTGCAGCCTTGGGGCTAAAAGAAGCTTTGTTTAGGAGACTTTTGCTCCGAGAATTGCTGAGCAAGTAAAGCTCCAAAATTTGCTGCTGCTTTCTATGTATTCGGCAATACAATAACACAATAAACTTTGGGCATGAATCCAATTAGCATAAAGCAGATTTTTTGGAATGAATAAATGACGCACAATATATATTAATATAGTCCAAGCATGTGTGTGTATATGCGAGTTTATATAGATATATATATACATATATAGATATATATCCGAATGGTTGGGGTTCTAAAGTGCAACGCAATTGAAAGTGAAATGAACTAAATGGACAGCGGGGCACCCGAAGTGCGGCATAGTTTCCACTGCCTCTCCTCATCCATATTGTTGACGATGATGATGGATCGTGATGATGATGATGATGATGATGATGAGCAACGGAAATGCTTTTATTGCTTCGCATATTTATCATAAAGCAAACAGAGTACACACATTTATATATATACTAAGCTTATAGTACACAATTTAATTGCAGATGCGTTTCCATTGCAATTCTGCGTGTGAGCAATGTGAAGACAAAAAAAAACAGCCTGAATCAGTTGCGAATTACAAGCAGCAGCCAGTAGAAAAGAAGCAGATTATTTAATACTATTATATAAATATACATATATATTAGACAGTTATATTTCAAATTTTTTGAGATAATTTATCAGTTGATCGTAGATAAAAATTTAAACGAACATAAAAGGATATTTTCGGTACGCCGGGGATTTAATACCCTTGGCTGACGGTTTTGCAGATATGTGAGAAGAGTGAAGCTCCTTGATAAAAATATTTTGGAAAACGGATTATTTTGCCATACAAAAACTCATTTTTTGACCGATTCTTCCTATAGAGCTGTATGATACATAAAAAAACATAGTAAAACATGGAAATGCCGAGTTTGGTTAAGATTTCTTGATAAACAAATAAATTTGTTCATATAAGGAACTTAGTTTTCAACCGATTGTTCGTATATCCGATATATGATATAGTGATACGCTAAGAAAGACGACAGAAAGTCGAACTATACAAAGTTTCGAGACGATCTCTTTAAAACTGAGACTAGATCGCAATATACAGGCTATATCATCTGTTCATGCTGATCTAGAATATATATACAAAATATAGAGGTTGGAGAAGATAAAATAATAATACCATCCTCAAAGATATAATAAATAAAATAAAAAGGTTTTTTATTTATATATCTAATAATAGAATGTAATCCGATAATAGTGAATTGCAAAATTTATACAAATACTGAAACAAGCGACAACATTCGAAGCGGCTGCTTTCGCGTTTCAAGAGTGAATATCATTTAAGTTATACCCAAAATCCTGGCTAGGATCAGTTTTTACATTTTCATAGCTTTTATTTATTCATTGCCGTAACATAAAATATATTTGTATCGAACTGTGTGTGGGAAGTGTGTGTGCATTGTTTGTGGAGTTCTCTGTAAAACGGGCTGAACGAGTTTTATTGTTGTTGCTTTTGGAATTTTAATTTAAAAGTACCCTCTCTCTCTCCCTCTCCCTGTCTGTGTGTGTGTGTGTGTGTGTGTGTGTGTATGTATCTCTCTCCTGCTTTCCCTGTGTGTGACCCTCTCTCTCTATCTCTCTCTCTCGCTCTGTCTGTCTCTAGCTCCAATTCCGTCTGCCTCGCTCCCTCCCTCAGTCCGTTTCGCATAGTTATTGAAAGTAGTTCGAGTTAGTTGAGCATCTGGAGACGCACCTGGCGTAGGGTGGCGCCCAATCCATCCTTGAAATGGAACATAAACGCAATGGCGAATCCGACAAGGCTGATGAGAAATAGCCACGGCGAGATGAGCATAACGCCCAGAAAGAGTAGAGCATCATTGCCCTTGGCATTGGCCATGCGCCAGAGCAGCTGGCGCAGGATGCTGCGCAGCTGGAACTTGCAGCGCCAGAGGCGAAAGCTGATCTGGGTCAGATTGATGCCCAGTCGCAGGCTCTGCATGACAACGCCGCCGATCAGGATGCTCAACAGCTGCAGCACCAGGAGCACATGGTTAAAGAACGTATTCTCGCAGCAACGCTGCAGTGCCGCCTCCATGCGCTCCTGCCGCTGGGCCGGCATCCCGCTCTTCAAATAATCAAAGACTCGACGCCAGCGCGATGTCTGTGCCGCTGCGGCGACACCATCATAGCTCTGCATATGCTGGCAATACTCGGTTTCCGAATCGGTATCGCTCTGATATGCCTTACTATGGTTGTTGTTGTTCCTGCTGCTGCTCAGCATCGGCTCCGGCTGCCCCAAGTGTCCCACGTGGCCGCCCACGTGGCCGCCCATCTGGCCCACCATGTTGTTGTTGTTGTTCATGCCGCCCAGGCTGTTCATATTGTTGCTGTTCAGGCTCATGTTGCTCATGTTGTCCATGTGGCCCATGTTGTCCAAGTGGCCCATATTGTCCATGTGGCCCATGCTGTCCATGTGGCCCATATTGTCCATGTGCCCCATGTTGTCCATGTGCCCCATGTGGCCCATGTTGTTGTTGTTGTTGTCCATGTTGTCCGCGTAGCCGCCCATGTGCAGACAGTCGTCGGCCAGCGGCGGATTGTTGTTCGTCTGGCCCAGGCACAGGGGCGGCATCTCGCCCTCGTAGCTGCCATTGTAGCCAGAGTTGTGGTTCTGGCTCAAATAGCTGCGGGGCGTGCCGCTGCGCATGCCACGCTCGAGTCCGGCATTCTTATTGCCCAGCAATGCGCTGTATGTGTGTGTGCATGTGTTAGTTATTGCCGGAATGGAGGGTAGCTCACCTGGTCGGCTACTCACCTGGCCAAGTGCTGGTTGACCATGGGTCGCTGCTGCTGGACCTGCACCTGATGCGCCAACTGCACCAGAAATGGCATTCCATTCAGGCTCTCGTTCTTGCTGAACGTGGTCGCCTTCAGCTGCTGCAGATTGAACCCACCTCCGGTGTACGGTGAACGTTGTTTTTGCATTATCTGATCTGATCTTAGTCCGAATCCCGAAAAATGTCAGTTTTTTTATTATTTTTTGGTGTGCATCTGTTGCAATTGCCGCGTCTCGCTCGTTTGCCGTTTTTTTTGCGGCCTTGTTTATCGTTAATATAATATAAATTGGGGGTTTATTTCGGTTCGGAAAACAGCTGTACGGCTGTGTTGGAATTTAGCTACTTTTTGAGTTTTGACTTCGGTGAGGAGCTCTCGTTTATTAGTGAAACAAATGCAGTGCCTACTGTTGTCTCTCTTCCCAACTGGTAACTGGCATTCCATTCAACATTCCACGCCTGACACTGATTCCACAGCCTCGCCTATCAAAATGGAACTTACCCAATCCTGTTGCTTGCCAGTGCTCAAGTGACCAACCCATGGGAATCTAATCTTCACTTGGTAGCTGAGCTGTCTGAGGTAATGTTTCATAGAAGAAGAGGAGGTAGCTGGTTCGAAATCCAAGGCTGGGATTTGACCTTCTGCTGTCACATCTTAGGTTCACTTTTCTCAATCGATCTAAGCCGAAAGAACTCCGTTGTTTGATCTAGCTTAAAGCTCTTGTAGACCTCAAGTTACCAACCCTTGGGAAACTTATCCCAAACTGGTAACTGAGCTGTCTTAAGTAACGTTTCATTGGAAGACCTAAAGATAGAGGACCCTGGTTCGAATCAAACGTTGGGGTTTGACTTTCTGCTGTCGCATCTTCTTTTTGATATTTTATAGTTTATAGACTCACTTATCTCCATCGATCTAAGCCTAAAGAACTCCATTATTTGAACTAGATTACAGCTTTACTTCTATTGAATATAGTTTATAGACTTACTTTTCGATCTATATCGATCTATGCCAAAAGAACTCTTTTATTTGATCTAGCTTAAAGCTCTTGAAGTTTCCTGATATCCGAGCATAAGAAAAACTCCATTTCTGGATCTACTAAAGAGCTCTATTATAGGTTATTAAGGATTTGTATAAACTAACTTTTAGCTGAGTTACTTTAAGCCTAAAAAGGTTTTACGGATATTGGAAGCCTGGCTTAGTTAAAGGTTGTCTTAATCAAAGTCCAGGAGATCTTGTGTTATTTCAAAAGTTAAGTGGATTGTTGATGAATATATTCTATACTTGTGTTTAAATAATATGCATATCTCTATTTTAACTATAAAAGTGAGTTCTTAAAATGTTTACAGAATGCAAGCTGAGCTCTAAAGAAATCCAACTAAATTCCTTCCACTTATTATGATAGGAATACAAATGGAATTTAGCGAAGAACTGTGTTTACATAAATCAAATTTCCATTTTAAAGTATTTACATGTATGTAGTACATTTATGTATGTATGTATTTACATTTATATATGCTTAATATCGTACCTATTTAAATATAGTATATAGTACGTATTTAAAATGAGTTATTAACTTATATATCTTTTTGTTCCAGTTGCTCCTACGCATTTGTCGCTGACTGTAGCTGATTAAGCTGCGATTGAGTCAGCGTCCATATCGTGTGTGGCCAGCGTCCAGCTTAGTATTATCCACATTCACATTCTCATATATATATATATTCCCGCTGTGGAGCGGAGCAGCGCCTCAGTTCAATGTGATGCGTTGAGTCTGCAGTCGCATTTGTAGAAACAAGACAGGGAACAGAGAACAAGGAGAAGAGAAAAACTGCCGGAGTCAGAGACGGAGACGGGTTTGCGGAGCATGAGCTGGAGATGTGGACTGGCGCTGCTGCTGGCGTTGCTGGCGCTGGTGCAGGCGGAGATCACGGAGCTGACCAATGATGCGCCCGAAGGACCCAATGTCTGCAAAAAGCGCGAAAAGTAAGCAGCAAGAGAGAGAGAGAGAGAGAGAGAGAGAGGGGAAATTGATTATTTGTCTGTCTGTCCATTTAGCTACGATGTGGAGGTGGTCACCACGGAGCTGCAGTCGTTCCAGGAGCGCGGCTCCACCTGGTGCCTGAGCATACCGCCCACCTGTCCCACCTATCGCATCAGGCATCGCGTCGTGAACAAGACCCAAACGCTGACCAAGTCGCGCATCGTGCGCGACTGCTGTGGTGAGTGACCCGCTATATACTCTATCTGATCTGTAATTCCCGCTAATACGAATACTCTCTCTCTCTTCCTCTTACAGATGGCTACGTGCGCAGCGGCAGCGAGTGCATCCCGCACTGCAGCGAGCCCTGCCAGCACGGCAGATGCATTGCGCCCGAGAAGTGCAAGTGCACCGAGGGCTACGGAGGACCCGCCTGCAACATAAGTTCGTTTCAACTCCATAGCTATTGATATACTTGTATAAGAACGTATTTAGTGTTTGTGCCTTTCTGTGTGTGTCTCTCTATGTGTGCTGGGTTTAACCACAATGAAACGCCTTGGGTTAAGGGGGCGTGGCTGCGTCCTAAAATGAGACCTCTCCAGCGATTGAGCCTTGCTTCAGGGCTAAACTCTAATCTTCTGTGTGTCTAACAACTAAAACTGTGATATCCTTGCAGAACCAGAATACCCAGCGTATATATAGAGTATAGAGTATAAGGAGTAGAGAGTATATAGAGTATAGAGTATATAGAGTATAGATTATATTGAGTATAGAGTATAGAGTATATGGAGTATATAGAGTATATAGAGTATATAGAGTATATAGAGTATAAAGTATAGAGTATAGAGCATAGATCATAGAGTATATAGAGTATAGAGTATATTGAGTATAGAGTATTTAGAGTATAGAGTATATTGAGTATAGAGTATTTAGAATATAGAGTATACAGCTCAGTTGTTGGGATATAGGTAGAATTTTTTTGACTTATCCTGAAGAACTGAGAAAAAGTATAATTTAGACTGGGCTAACAATAAAAAATCAGATTTAAAGTTAAGAAAAGCTGAAGATGGTTACAAAATTTATATATTGAGAAGAGTATAGAGTATGCAGAGGCGTTGTTAGGATATGAGTAGAATTTATTTGACGTTACCAAAAGTACAAAAGAAAACGGATATAATTTCGACTAGGCTGGCAATCATAAAATCAGATTTTGTAAAGAACAGAAGCTGCAAGTTATTGCAAAAATATTAAAAATTCGTATTTTAAATATGTAATATAAATAAATATATAATTTATAGCGCGATCTATGACTAAGCCGGCTGCTTATCAGTTGAAAATGATTGCAAAAATATTAAAAATTATTTTTTTGAATATATATTATAAACAGATAGCTCGATCTATGACTAAGCTTATCAGTTGCAGCAAAACAGGAAAAGACATGTCAAAGCTTTAAGCAGATTAGAATAGTTCTTGTATTATTTATGAAATTAGATTAAGGCAGATTAATCACATATAGCTAAAATATATTTTTGGCTCTGCAAGGGTATCAGCGCTTCGGCTTGCCGAGGTTTTTTTTTTTATTTCGGTTAGCACATTTTTGTTTTTTTGTTAAATGATTTCTTAAAGCTTTATGTTAATAACCTTTTGATTTGCAATGCTGCCAAGAGCACCAACACACGCACACACACACACACACACGCATATTCCCGCCTTAACACACACACACACACACCCAGACACACCCTACTCTCTCTTAATAACCGGGACCTTAAGGAACAGCTTTCACCCCACACAACGGCCGAAGGATATGTATATTTCCGTGCTTAATTAATCACCGCAAATTTGTAGACGCGACTAACTGTTAAAGCACCCCGTTTAAGCCCGCTTAAGCCGTAATGCCGTAATCTTAAACGTAACCGTATCCGTAACGCTCTCCGGCAGATTGTTCGCCGGGCCTGTACGGCATCGACTGCAAGCTGAAGTGCGATTGCTTGAACAACGCCACCTGCGAGCCCTTCACGGGCGAGTGCGAGTGCGCCAAGGGCTATGCGGGCGAGAGATGCGCCGAGATCTGTCCGGCCCAGACCTACGGCGAGAAGTGTGCGGAGGCGTGTCGCTGCGAGAACGGCGGCAGCTGCGATCATGTCTCGGGCAGGTGTTCGTGCGCGCCCGGCTTTACGGGTCCCTTGTAAGTGGGCGAACCCATCCCCCCTCTAATTGTCAGGCCAAATCCGTAACTAATTCCACGCTCCGCTTCAATCAGATGCGATATGCGCTGCCCGGACGGAAAGCATGGCGCCCAGTGCGAAGAGGACTGTCGCTGCCAGAACGACGGCAAATGCGATCCACAGAACGGCGCCTGCGAATGCACCGCCGGCTGGACGGGCGATGTCTGCGCCAACAAGTGTCCCACGGGCAGCCACGGACTCAACTGTGAGCTCTCCTGCGAGTGCTACAACGATGCGCCCTGCCATCACATTACGGGCCGCTGCGAGTGCCCGCCCGGCTACATGGGCGAGGTGTGCATGGACGAGTGCCCGCTGAACACGTACGGCCGCAACTGTACGGAGAAGTGCGACTGCCTGAATGATGCCGCCTGCAGTCCGACGGGCAAGTGCGAGTGTGCGCCCGGCTGGCAGGGCGAGCGCTGCGAGCAGCGCATCTGTCCGGCCAACAAATACGGCGCCGACTGCAGCAAGAGCTGCGAATGCGGCATGGAGCACACGGATCTCTGTCACCCGGAGACGGGTCGCTGCCACTGCAGCATTGGCTGGAGCAGCGTCGACTGCAAGCGACCCTGCCCGTTCCTCAAGTACGGCCCCAACTGTGATCTGAACTGCGATTGCCGCAACGGAGCCAAGTGCTCGCCCATCAACGGCACCTGCCTCTGTGCGCCGGGCTTTACGGGCGACCAGTGCGAGCTGAGCTGCCCGGCGGGCAGCTACGGCCAGGGCTGTGCCTTCGCGTGCGACTGCCAGAACGGCGCCAAGTGCGCGCCCGAAACGGGCCAATGCCTCTGCGCGCCCGGCTGGCGCAACAACAAATGCGATCGGCCCTGCGTGCTCAACAATTACGGCGACGGCTGCCGGCACAGCTGCCAGTGCCAGAACAACGCCTCCTGCAATCCCATCGACGGCAACTGCACCTGCGCCCCCGGCTGGCAGGGCGAACGCTGCGACCAGAAGTGCGAGCCGAACACCTTCGGACTGGACTGCGCCCACAACTGCCAGTGTGATCCGTACAACACGATCGCCTGCGAGGCGACAACCGGTCGCTGCATCTGCAAGCAGGGCTGGCGAGGTACCGACTCGACTACCACAATCCAATCCAACACGCAACACTCAATACTCAATACTCATCGCTCATCGCTCATCGCTCATGTGCTCCCAGCCCAAATAGACACCTTCTCCAAAGACACACACGCACACACACACAGACTCGCACACATTCGCACACTTGCATTCATATATATCATAGATATAGTTCTTTCAATCTGTCACTATCCTTTCTGTACGCCTGCTCCTCCTTCATTGTCAACTCCCTGAATCCAACACTCATCGCTCATGTGCTCCCAGCTCACGACTCCCAGAATCGAAAACTATCGCATTCCAGCTCACATAGACACCTTTTCCAAACACTTGCATTTACATATATATATCCCATATAAAGTTCTTTCCATCTCCGATCTCTCACTTTCTTTATGCGTCCTTCTTAATGAAGTAGGAGTATCGACTCCCAGAATCGAACAATCATCGCTTCCCAGCTCAGAAAGACACCTTCTCCACACACAGACACACACACAAGCACACACACTCGCACACTTGCATATATACATATATATATACCATATATAGTTCGTTCCATCTCCGATCTCTCTCTATCTTTTTGCCTGCCTTCTCCATCATTATCGACAGAATTCAACACTCATCGCTCATATGCTTCAATCCCAGACACCTTCTCCAAATACTCACGCACTCTCACACACACTCACACACACACACTCGCATTTATATATACCACATATAGTTCATTCCATCTCCGATCTATCTTTATCTTTCTGCCTGCCTGCCTCCTCCATTACCAATATTCGCCTCATTTTATGCGCCGTTTGTTTCTGTTTGTTCTTATCTTTAATTTGTGTTTTTCTCGTTTTGCACTCGTTTGTTTTTATTTTCTATTCCGTGTCCGTGAACCACAAAAATCCTAACCGTACCCAAGGCGTTCATTGTGAGACGAACTGTCCGAGCGGTTACTATGGTGAAAATTGTGATCAAGTTTGCAGATGCCTGAACAACTCCTCGTGCGACTCGGATACTGGCAACTGCATCTGTGCGCCCGGCTGGACCGGCGAGGACTGTGTCGAGCCCTGTCCCGAGGGATTCTACGGCATGGAGTGCAAGGAGCGCTGCCCGGAAACAATGCACGGTAAGAAAAATACAAACATTAACCGGATCAATAATTAAACCAACTTTCTTGCCAGGCAATGCCACCTGCGACCATATTACGGGCGAGATTGTCTGCCGTCCGGGTTACTTGGGCCTCACCTGCGAGCACGCCTGTCCGCCGGGCCTGTACGGACCCAGCTGCCGGCTGAAGTGCAACTGTGAGCACGGCGGCGAGTGCAACCATGAGAACGGCCAGTGCGTCTGCCTGCCCGGCTGGACGGGCTCCAATTGCAATCAGTCGTGTCCGCAGGACACCTACGGCCAGGGCTGCACGCAGCGCTGTCGCTGCCATCATCATCGCAATTGCCGCAAGAACGACGGACACTGCATTTGTTTGCCCGGCTGGATGGGTGATCAGTGCCTGGAAGTGTGCCCGGAGGGCTTCTACGGCGAATACTGCATGAATCCCTGCGCCTGCCCCTCCTCCAATTTCCAGTGCCATCCCGCCGATGGCTGCGTCTGCCGCAGCGGCTACACCGGCGACAATTGCGATACGCTCATCGCCTCGCAGCGCGTCGCCGAGCACAAAGAATGTAAGTAGCACTCCGTCGGATGTAGATCGCAGTTGCTAATATTCCTTTCCTTCCTTCGCTCCCTTAGCGAGCAATGCCGGCGTGGCCATCAGCATGGTCCTGTTGAGCCTCTTTGCTGCGATCATCTGCGCCATATTCCTCTATTATCGCCGGCGTGTCTCCAATCTGAAGACGGAGATCGCGCATGTCCACTACACGCACGAGACGAACGGATCCGCCTGGCCGCCAGCCAATCACAACTTTGACAATCCCGTCTACGGCATGCAGCCGGAAACGCGCCTGTTGCCCAACCATCTGCGTCCCAAGATGAACAACTTTGACCGCAACGGATCGCTGTGCACCGACTACGGCGACGATTCCAATGCCAGCAGCAAAGGTGCGTCTGAAAGCAACACAAATAGTTTCTCTTTGTTAACCAACCTTTCCATCTTGCAGTGGGCAGCTACTCGGTCAACTATAATCACGATCTGCTGAACAAGAATATGAATGCGGATCTGACCAATCCGATTGTGTACAACGGCATTGGCGAATCGCTCAAGGAGGAGCATGTCTACGATGAGATCAAGCAGAAGGAGGGCTACAAAGATCCCGGTAAGTGCTTCCGTTTGCCTTTTAACGCTTCCAATTCTATAAACATGCTATATTCCCTATTTGCAATGCACACACATTTGCCATAAAACAGTGAAAGTTTATAGCAAAATCTTATTTCCGGAGGGTAAGCAGCAATTGTTCAGTGTCCGTTGTAGCAAGTCATCACTGTGCCCTGCCCCAGCTGTTATATGTGTGTCAACCTTGTGGCTCGAGATTCGCTAATCAACTGTTTTATCTCATTTCCCCAGATGAATACGACCATCTGGACTACTCACGGCCCAGCACATCGCAGAAGCCGCACTATCATCGCATGAACAACACCGTACTGAACATCAACCAAGACGAGGAGAAGCCCACCAATGTGAAGAATCTGACTGTGCTGCTGGAGAAACCGAAGCCGCCAACGGAACCGGAGCCACAGCACGAGAGCTTCGACAATAACAACTTGGATAATGCCTCAACCGCGTCGCCCAGCTCCAGTCCAGAGCTGCGCAAATAGGCAACAGGCGACAGACAGTCGTCGTCGTCGTCGTCGTCGTAATGGTCCCCACTCTTGTAAATGTGTTATTTTTCAATTAAGTTGCTCATATTAGACATCGTACACCTAATTCATTGCATATAGTAGCAACAGCTCTTCCCTCTCAGTAATGAATTGTGCTGTTGATTATTGTATAGAAATTGTGAAGCGTTGGCGTCTCAGGGAGGCGCCGGACCTTAGCATTACCTTTTTAGAGCCGCATCGGCGGGGGATAACGATAACACCTATAATACATAAACATATTTTCATATCAAATATTTAAGCATATGATATTTATATTTTCGTAAGTTAATTGTATAAAAAAAAAAGCAATGAAGGTAAGATCAAAGATTTCCCATTAATTGAATGAAAAAAAGCTCAAATTATTTGTAGCTGTAGTGAAAAGTTTTTATTGAATGCCAAAATAATTTATCAGCGAAAATGTAGTCTAAATTTTTGTAGTTGAAATATTGGAGACCTACAAAATTGTTTGTTATTATACAATCTATTTACCTAAAACATTTACCTTTTAAAATGCAAATAAATAAAATAATAAAGTTTACCCATCCCAATCAAAACCTGGCACCTTCTTTTTCTGCATCGATGCGCCACTAAATACATATATTACAAATGAAATCAAATATATGAAAAACTCAACACACGGCGACGGCTGTTGTGTGACGTCATCAAAAACCAAAAGTCGCGTTGCTGCCACATCTGATCCCAAAAACTGCTAAAATACCAGGCGAACATAAATCAGCAGCAGATTGCTGAATTAAAATAAAAGTGCGGCATACTTTCAGGGGGCCTTAGTTTAAATTAGTACCAAGTGCTGCCCATCGCCAATCGGTGCTGCCCATCACCCATCTGTATTTGGGTGCTGGGCAGCACTGGCGCATTTAAAATGCCAGCCCGAAAGTATGCCACACTTTTATTTTTATTTTAGTGCAGCAACCTTCTGCTGATTTATGTTCGCCTGGTAGATTAGCAGTTTTTGGAATCAGACTCGGCTGCAACGCGACTTTTGCTTTTTGATGACGTCACACAACAGCGACTGACTGAGCGTTTGGTGCGGACCTGCCACGCAGCTAGGACAACAGTGCAGGCTGTCAACTGTAACAGTAGCAAATTGAAAAGTTGCACATACAGAAATTTTAAAAGCATCGTAACCTGCTACTGATTGCTGTTCGCCTGGTATTTGGGGCGGTCAGCTAGATGCTTGTAAATCGCAACTTTTGAACGGCGGCAGCTTGCATATTTGTCGAAAAGCGAGCATATATATAAAAAGAGATAATAAAGTCAGTTTGTTTAATATGTTTATTTATTTCAATTATTTAGTAGAAGCATCAAGTACAATAATTGTATAAATAGTTTCGTTTTCCATGTGTCGTTGTGTGAGTGTGTGTGGTTGTGTATGTCTTTGATTTATGTTGCAAGTTAAATATTGCATAGACTAAATGCTAGATAAATACATATACACCCATAGCACAGATTACATCTATGTAGATTCTATAAGCGTACGCAGAACAAAGAGTTTTTAAATTACACACGATATTGCTAATTTGTAATATTACTTAGTGGAATATTATGTGGTAATACGCATGACTTTTGAGGGGACTTACATTTTATACCCTTGCAGAGGCTAATCATGAAATCTTTACTCATTAGAGGAGACGTCGCAGGCTCCTCAATAATTATATATATATTGATTAGTTCAAATCTATCTTGATGAAATTTTAAATGGATACGTCTTATTATATAGCTGTGTTACATAGCTTTTAAGGGAAGGATCGCATGGATAATTGAGTACCCTAATTAAACTCGAACTAGTATATCAAATAGCTTGAAAATTGATTTGTTATTCTCAGCCATATGTCTGCAAGGGTATTTAATCTTCGGCGTGCCGAGGTAGCTTTCTACTTTTCCATGTTTTGTGTGACTGGAGCTGTTTGTCTGTCCGTTTGTCCGCCAGTCCGCCTACAGATAGCCATGGCCGGCCACCTCGGCTGGAATGAAGCCCTCGCGTCCGTCTCGCGTCTTCACGTAGAACCATTGGCGCTGATCCTTGGACTCGCGGCACTCGCAGAGCGTAACAATCTCGCCCTTGTGGACGACAATGCTCTCCGTGATGAAGTCCGCGTTGATGGCGACTAGAGTTTGGCGCAGTCCGTTCTGCTGTTGACGCCGCAGCACGCTCAACATGGCGCCCGCCGAGGGCGGAGCCTGTTGCGGGTGAGTCTGCTGCTGCTGCTGCGGCTGCTGTGGAGTGCTCTTTGGATGCAGATGCTGACCGTTGTGGCCATTGGTTATGTACGAAACGTTCGACAGACGCCGCACGGACTGTGACTGTGACTGTGACTGCTGCTGTGAATGCAGATGCTTCTGTGCCTGCGGCTTGGTCATCCTCTGCTGCTGCTGCTGCTGGAGAGTGACATATTCGTCGTTGGAGGCGCTGCGCACCGAGGCGGAGCCGGAGCCCAGCTGCTTGGTCGAGCGCAGCTGGGCGTAGGCCTTCTCCACGAGCTTTGGCTGGGAGGCGGCGCGCAAATATAGCTTGTCCACGTGCTGCTCCCCGTACAAGGAGCCCGCCAAACTGCCGCCATGCGATACTAGACTCTTGCTCGTGTTATTGTTGTTGTTGTTGTGCTCCTCGGCAGCTGCTCCGGGCTTGACGCTGCGCGGTGTGCGTGCCCCATCGGAGCGTGTGCCGCCGCGCAAACGTATCTCCTTCTCCGAGTCCGTCATGTTGCCGCAGGGCCGCGGAAAGATGTCCGCATTGGACTCCCAGCAGGGCGTCGGCTTGGAGCTGCCACCCGAGGGCAATATGCCCAGCGGCAGGCAGCTGGCATAGCCCACATAGCCCTCCTCGGCGTGCGGCGTCTGTACGTAGAGCCAGTTCTGGTTCTTGAAGACCGCATTGACGACCATGCCCAGCGGCAGCGGTATCTCCAGCTGATAGCCGCCGGGCCGGGTCTGATAGAGCGTGCTGGCCGTGGCCAGGACGACAGGTATATTGCCGGGCGCCGCCAGCGAGCAGCGCGACAGAAACTCATCCACGTTGTGTATCTCGTAGCCGAAACGCTGGACACGATTGCGTTCCCGCTCGCGACGCTTGCGATGACGATGACGACGCGGCTGCTGCTGTGCCGCTGCGCCGGGAGCTCCACCTCCCCCTCCCCCCTCTGAGACGGCAACCAAGCTGGGCTCCGAGTAGGTGCACTTTAGTGCATCCGCTGTCGTCGTTGTCGCTGGGCTGGCGGCTGCTCCCACTCCGGCGGCGCGGGCCTGCTGCAGCCGGCTGGCCAGCTTCTTGCGGATCTCGTTGCGCTTGCGCGCCAGCAGCAGCGCCTCGTGGTGCACATCGCTCCGTGGCGCACGCTGCGGCGTGCAGACGAAGAGCAGCTCTTTGGTGGTGGCGGCGGCCACTGGTGCGCCCAGCGGTGCGCTGCGCGTGCCCTTGTCCTTGTACTCCAGCAGATTCTGATTGCTGAAGAACTTTTGGCTCGCCAGTTGCCCGGCGCCGGGCGCCTGATGGGCGGTGGGCGTGGTGGCGTAACCATTAAGCGGCTCCGCGGGCAGCTGCTTGACGCGATACCGTTTCTTGCCCACGTCCAGCTGCGTGGGCACCGGCTCCGTGCGCTGCGGTGGCAAGGAGTTGACGCCGGATGCATTAATATTGCCAGAGGCCGGAACATGTCCATTGCTGAGCTCCTTCTCCTTGGCTGGGTCCGCCTCGGGCGGCTCATTGGTCTTTTGCTGTGACTGAGACTGGGACTGGGACTGGGGCTGGGACGGGGAGGGGGGCTGGTGCTGCTCCCGCAGCACCCAGGTCAGTGAGATGCGCGGCCGTCGCAGGCTCAGATTCTGACCCATCGCTAGTCTGTCCGCTAGTCCTACAGCATGCTGCAGTTGTGGTGTGCTCTTGGCCCGAGCAGCGCCTAGCGGCGGCGGCACCAGCTCATCAATCTCCACATAGTCCGAGCTGTACTCAACCCCACTTGACTGACGATTCGGCGGGGGCGGCGGCGGTGGCGGTGGCGGTGGCGGTGGCGGTGGGGGCGTGGCCGTAAAATTACCCACGGAACTGTCGCTGCTGCCGGGCTGATGCTGCTGGTGCTGATGGTGCTGACGGTGCTGGTGGTGGAGAATCAAGGCGCAGGCGTGCAACAAATCCGGACAATAGGCATCTGTAAAAAGGAGAAACGATAAATATGCAGTTAAAAGCGAGAGAGAGAGAGAGTGCTCGACTAGGAGATACCCTGTAGGCAGCAACGAGCTGCCGTCGAAAGTATTCGAACTTTCTTTTTACACACACACTTATACGGCTTGTGCTTCTTCCTAGAGGCCCACACTATAAACAATTCATTTTTAAACAACTTCGGTGCTTAGAGTCCGATCTTAATGCAAGTTTCAGGCTCAAAATATGGCATATAAAGGTGGCTATATACAGAGATGCATTAGAGTGCGTTTGGTTGTGAAAAGGTATCCAAAAGGTGAATTATTCTTGGACTATATATGCATTACACTAAAAACAAATAATTAATGACTCTAGCTCATAAAATCTTTCAGATATGCCTAAAAGCCCTTAGCTTAAAATCAAAAAATGTATCGATAAATAAATATCGAAACGGAAGGAATATCGATAATTTGAAATATATTGGATTTGATATAAATCGAGTTTATCAAGATTTGATTAATCGATTTAATCAGGCATATATAGCGGTATTCATCGATTTTATCACGACGTTACATCGATATTTATCGATTTTATCAATACTTTGATTCGATATTTATCGAGTTTAACAAGACAAAATATCGACATTTATCGATTTTATCTTATACAAAACGCTTTTCAACTTTGGATAGCCCTAGGGAGATATCGATCTATACGAATTACCCGCCTGCTAATGGGCTTATCGTATCGTATCAATTTTTCGGATATATGTAGATTTTAAGTCTCAAAAGAACAAACGAACCTCAAGTTGCATATTGCACAAAGCCAGTATACCCCTTTTCCCTCCTTCTGAATAGAGTATAAAACCAGCATACCCCTTCTCACTTTGCAGAAGAGAGCTTATTTAATTTTTCCTCCAACAGTTTCCTCAACAGCTCAAAAGAGGAAAGTTTTCGTGTTTGTCCACTTTAGAGTGCTTTTACTGTACTAATTAGAATTCTTAGTCGCCCGACTTACCTCTCAGTCCGCGTGAGCTGCGTCTGCGCCGACGCTGGCCTCTGACTGCGCTGCCTAAATCGCCGTCGCAGTCGTTGGCGCTGCTCTGCTCGCTACTGCTGCTGCTGCTGCTGCTGTTGGTGCTTGCTGCGAATCTTTGCTGCAGCTGCTGCTGCTGCTGGAGTTCACGTAGACGACGTCGGCGTCGTGCTTGCTGACGCGCTGCTGCAGTTGCTGCTGCTGCTGCTGCTGCTGCATGCTCGGCCGCTGGCTGCGGCGCCGGCGGCGGTGGCGGGGCTCGCTCCGTATAGCCCGGCGGCGGCGTCAGCGGCAGCGGGCAATAAAAAGGCGGCGGCGCTTGACGCACTCGTCGATTTGTCTCCTCTAGAACGTAATCGTTCTGTTGCGCCTGCGCCTGCGTCGGCTGCGACTGCGACTGCAAGTGCTCTAGACTGCGCGTCGAGTGTGGCGCAGCTGCCGCAGCGTCCTCTGCTGCATGTTGGCGATATGTGGGCGGAACTGAGGCAGCTGTGGAAGAGCATCACAGAAGAAGAAGAAGGCACACATTAATGAGCTGATGGTCAACTTTTGCACTTGATCATAAAAATTCCAATTATGTTGGTCAAGAGAGCCTGCCCGACTGGCAGATACCCTGTAAGTCGCATGAGGCAATTGGGGAAGAGCATCAAATGGAACCAAGATGAGAAGAAGAAAGCAACTTTTGCACTTGATCATAAAAATTCCAATTATATGGTCAAGAGTATAAATCAAGTAGAGATGCACGTTTTGCAGATACCCTATAAGTCACATGAGGCAATTGGGGAAGAGCATTAAAAGGAACCAATTATATTGATCAAGCGTGCCCGACTGGCAGATACCCTGTAAGTCGCTTGAGGCAGCTGTGAACCAAGATGAGAAGAAGCCACACATTTGCACTTGATCATAAAAATTCCAATTAAATGGTCAAGTGTCCGACTGGCAGATACCCTGTAAGCCGCATGAGGCAGCTGATCTAGAGCTTCAAATGGAACCAAGATGAGAAAAAGAAGAGGGCGCACCATGATGAGCTGCTGCTGAACTTTTGCACTTGATCATAAAAATTCCCATTATATGGTCAGGAGAGTAAAAGAGAGTTAAGCGTGCTCGACTGTCAGATACCCTGTAAGCATGTAAGCATACCTCCGACTTGTCTATATATGTTGCTTCATTTATTTTATTTTATTCATATATTTATTAATGAGTGTCTGTCTAATTATAAGTTTATGAAAAGGAATATATATAAATACTATAAAAGTTTGCAGATGCCATCTGAGCTGCCTGTTACATACATACTCGAACAATAATAATCCCCATTTGGCCATTTCAGCCAGGCACAGGGTATTCGAAGCGCAACAACACCCCCACCAAGAAATATTTAAAATATTTGCCAATATAAACGTCAACCTCTGAGCTCTGAGAGCCAAGACAGAGCCTCAGATCCAGTCTCAGTTGCAGTTGCGGTTGTGGCCACAGTTTCTGGCCACATTTATATGCGCTATCAAGGCCAAGATCAGCGCGAGCTGCGAAATGGCAGAGGCCAACAACAACAAGGAGCAGGCAGCAGCAGGAGATACGCAAAAAGCGTGGCCAATAAAATTGCAAAACTGATATGCTCAATGGCAACAACGTGCCAGAAGTGAGTAGTAAAATGTTAAAACGTGACGGTATTTCACAAAAATACCAAATATTGTATGATACCCAGAGCTACCTCTACTCTGGATACCCCTCCCTCCCTCCCTCTCTCTGTCTCTCTCTGTCTACATATCTCCTTCTCTATAGACCTCTCTCTCTGTCCCTCTTTCTTAATGGGCCCGTTCTTGTGCTCACATTTGCACAATGTTCAAAAATGGGCAGTTTAAGGCGTATTGAAATGTGTGCTAACGACGTTTAAATACCCTTTTCTTTAATATATATATTTTATAGAAGTAGGACTAGCAGGGAACTCACATATATTCTCTTAGAAGAAGACAGCTTCTTGGATACTTTCGTTAGCGAAATAACAAGATCATCAGATTTTACTACAAGCCAGGACTGCGAAATCTAATAAGTAAGAATTTCAAGTCGTGAGTTCCCGACTAGGGGATACCCTGAAGCCCTTCCATGCGATATAAAATGAAAGATACTTTATGTACATAGATATTTACTATTGTAGAAGCTACATGACAAATTTGCTATATACAAAACCTAACTAGTCTGGACATACTAAATGACATAGCTAATGTACTCCTCTCTTCCCTATATGCACAATAACTAAGGCCTGATGAAGGCGCAGAAAGGAGAAGGCCCTGAAGCAAAGCTGCAAAGCCAGCGGCTGTGGCTTTAACGACCTTTGCCAGTCAGTCAGTCACTCAATCAGTCAATCAGTCAGTTAGTCAGTCAGTCAGTTAGTCAGTTAGTCAGTTAGTCAGTCAGTCAGCCAGTCAGTTAGGGTATGCCGAGGCAGAGAGCTAATCAAAAGAAGAGTTGCGACTGCGGCAGGCAGATCGTGCGAGGATTGCATTGGGCGTGTGACGACAGGGTCAGGGACGAGAGGGATAACGGGCGGGGCAAGGGCGGGGCAGTGGGGAGACGGGGCGAGTCATTCAGTGAGATCGTGAGGCAGCGGCCTTTAATGGTCGCGACGTGAGCTGAGTCGAGGCGTGGGCGTGGCACGACTGACGTTGCACAGAAATTGAAAGTGTTGCAAGGCAGCAAAATGTTGCAGCAAAGTTGCAGTTGTTGTTGTTGTTGCAGCCTCTAATTAAACGGAGACGGGCTGCCAAATTAGCTAATGCCGAGTAGAAGAGCGAGAAGAAAAAAAAAACAGATAGACAGACAGACAGACAGCAAAGCCCAAACATGCCACATGCGACATGCGGTGCCCGCAAATGGACAAAACATTGACAAATTTGTTTTGCAACTTGTTTGGCCGCCCCAAAGGCGACAAATATGGTCAGCAGCAGCAGCACACGGCGTGGCCAGCCACTGGGGCATTGGCGTCGGCGTCTCTGGCAAAAAGCGTCTCTGGCCAAGTTGCAACTGCAACTGCAACACGGCGATAATAATTCAATCGCGGCGAAATGTCGAAGCGTGCAAATGGGGACGGGCCCCGTGATTTGGCATAAAAGGCGCTTGGAATTGATTGGAGCTGCATGTGATTATAGCCCAGCCAGGCAGACACACCAAGCTGTTCGCCATGAACTCCCCGAGAGAGCCGCGATGTGATGTGGGAAATGAACTCTGGCTTAACCCGACTTAACTTGGCCAACAAAAATGGCATTGCGATGCCATTGCGCTAATAAGATAAAAGCATTTTAATTGCAACTAAACATGGCATTTGCAGCAACTGGACATGGACTGGCCACTAGCCCAGCCAACCCGCAACCCGACCCCGCCCCGCCCCGCCTCCGCCCAAGCCTCGCACTCTTAGCTGCTTTGCGCTGTAGGCCAAACAACTGTAAAATGGCCAAGATGCGTTGCCTCACATAAAAAAACAAAACATATAAAAACAGAAAAAAAGAAACACGCATAAAATAAAAAGAAATACGAGAATTGCTCGCATTTGGAAAAATACTTAAAATAAATACTAGAAATACTCGCATTTGGTCAAGAAAAATTGATTTCAAGCTCTCGCTTTCTACAGGTCCTCTCCCTCTCTTTCTCTCTCCTTCTCCATCTGTCTCTCTCTCTCTCGCTGCCACCTGTTGGCTGTGCAGTAAATTAAAATGCTGCAGGGGCTCATCAGGAATTTAACGAGACACCATCGAACATAAACATTAAGCCTATAGCAATAACAAGTAAGCGTGTGCTCGACTGGAGAATACCCTGTGCCCAGACGCACGGTGCTGTATATTTCCATTCCATATGATTTTTTGGAATTTGGGTATGTCTAGTTTCTAGCTCTTACGAGATAGGCTTGGAAACCCAAGACTATATCGATATTTATCGATTTAACTGGACAATATATCGATATTTATCGGTGTATCAGGATAATATATCGATATTTAACGATTTATTAGGACTTTGTATCGATATTTATCAATGTATCAGGAAAATTTATCGATATTTATCGATGAATCAGGATAACATATCTATATTTATCGATTTATCTGGACTTTATATCGATATATATATATGTCGATTTTAACCAGAATTACTTCGATATTTATTTATTATTTAATTTGGCATTTACTTCGGTATTTATCGATTTTATCAGGACGTTTCATCGACATTTATCGGTTTTAACAGTACCTAAATCGATATATATATCAATTATATCAGGACTTTATGTCGATATTTATCGATTTCCTATTATACAATACAGTTTCCAACTTTGGGATAACTGAAAGAAGTTTTAAAAAAGTTAAATATTGTTGAGCAATGTATTTTGGACGAAATATCGAGGGTCTACGAATCAAGCACCGATTGTTATCGACTTTGGAGAAATGGTTGGAGAAAGGAAGTAGTCGAAATTATATATTCCAAGTACTCTACAATGTTTGGCTTTCTTTGTCTCTGGGATCGACTGAGCTCATGGCCATCAACATTACCCTACCTACGTTTAAAGTAAATTGTTATAAGGCTGACGCGTTTCCCTCTTAGCTCGTCATTTCCATCAAGAACGAGCATACTTTACATATTACGAGACTCAACATTCTGTCTATTATCACATTTGCATAATTTCATTATGCCCATTGTTAATCATTTTCATTAGAGGGTATTACAACTACAAGTCTACAACGATGAGAAGTCGCGCGCAGGCTCATAAAAAGACGTCATAAAGTTGCTCGATTGTCAGATTGTGAGATTGTCAGTAGGTGCCAGCCGGCGACCAAAATCCCTGTTGACACGGCCAACAGGCACGAGTCCAGCCATAAGCCCCCCTCCCGCACATGCCCTCCCCTCTAGCCAATGCCTGCAGCAGTCATCAAGTGTGCAAATTTATGCAGAAAATAATTTACACAAATTTCAGTTCTTTAGCTTTTCAATTAGCACGCATCAGGTTACATCCCAACTGGAATCGAAGGGGAAAGGGGGCAAAGGGTCGGGGGGAACGGGAGGAGATATCACTACTTAAGCCAATTTTATGGGATTTTAATGTGTGCTGCGTTTTGGGTGGCCCGTCACAGATATTTTGAATAGGTGCGATTTACCAATGCGATCAAAAATCAATTTGAATTTTTATTGGCTCGATTTGAGCTGCGGCAAGGAGCTGGCCTAGTTGGTGGCACCACGAGGGGAGGTGGAAGGGGGAAAGGGGAGAAGGGGCAGCTAGGCTGGTTGCAGTTGCCGTGGCCATGGCAATAAAATTTAAACGTTGCTTTGTGCCATTCGCCACGTTCTGTGTGTGTGTTTTTAAGCGCTTTTAAATATTTATGGGCCCATTTTGTGGCTGCCTACCCACCCTTCTCTCCCCCTCCGCACGAAACCAACAAAAAATATGATTTTATGACGTTAATAAATTTAAATGTTGTGGGTTCAAGTTTTTAGGCCCTAACAGAAGTAAATAC